GAATAGAATAGAATAGAATAGAATAGAATAGAATAGAATAGAATAGAAAATATGGAATGGAATGGAATGGAATGGAATAGAACAGAAAATATGGAATGGAATGGAGTGGAGTTGAGTGGAACAGAATAGAATAGAATAGAATAGAATAGAATAGAATAGAATAGAATAGAATAGAATAGAATAGAATAGAATAGAAAATATGGAATGGAATGGAGTGGAGTTGAATAGAATAGAATAGAATAGAATAGAATAGAATAGAATAGAATAACAGAGTGAATAGAATAACAGAGTTGGAAGGGACCTTGGAGGTCTTCTAGTCCAACCCCCTGCTTAGGCAGGAAACTCTATACCATTTCAGACAAATGGTTATCCAATCTCTTCCTTAAAACTTCCAGATAGAGAAGCAAAAGAGAGGGAAAGAGACAGTGAGAAAGAGAAAGGGGCGGGGGAGGGAACAGAATCTAGCAAGCCTGATAGACTGGCTGCTTTAGGACCATTCAAAGTTATGACAGACCTCCCCAGGGTCATTTACAACAGGATTTCAAAGTTTCAACAACCACACTCTGAAGCTTTTGAACATTTTCTTGCTGGTTTCCTTTCCTGGCCACGCTCCTGTTTTCCCCACTATGCTTATCCCAAGCCAGCCAAGGCATTGCTTACCTTCCTCGGATCACCTGAACGTAGACAACGCTTCCAAGTTTCCAAGAAGTGGCATCCGGGACATCATTCCAGATTTCTCTTTTCTGCCCTCCAAAGCCTGCCTCAGAGTATAAAATGATCTGCAGTAAAGCAAGAAACAGGAAATGTGGAGGTGGGGAGGAAAAGCGGCCATCTTAACTTTGTGTCTACCAAGGTATCATCTCTTTGCCAGATGCTGGGAAGTCACCCTTCCTTTTCACCCTCCTACCTTGCTGGGGCGTTTGTTGATCTTCAAAGGAGTATGTTCCTCTCCCTGAAATTGAAAAATAAACGGGAAATTACTGAAGATCACAGGGCAGCACTTGCTCAGGTGAAAAGTGGCCAGGGTGGAAATTTTTCTTCATCGAAGGAAGATTCTTTGCAGTTGCAGAATAAATAAAAATTATGCATTTTGGGAGATCAATCGTATATTATTTAACTTGTTAGTTTTATAACCAACCATTCCTTCAGGAGCTTCAGGTACCCCACTCTGGGTCTCTCTCCCCATACAACCACCACCTTATACAGGGGGTTGGTCTGGGAGAGACGGATTAACCTCGGGGTGTTTCCATGGTTGAAAAAGGACTAAGATTGGCACCTTAGTTACAGGTAGTCCTTGACTTACAATCATAATGGAGCCCAAAATGTCTGTTGTTGAGCAAGACATTTGGTAAGTGAGTTTTGCCCTATTTTATGACCTTTCTTGCCATAGTTGTTAAGTGAATCATGGCAGTTGATAAGTTAGTAACCTGGTGATTAAGTGAATCTGGCTTCCCCATTGATTTGTCTTGTCAAAAGGGCACAAAAGGGAATCACATGATCCTGAGACACAGCAAAGGTCATAAATGTGAACCAGTGGCCCAGCATCTGAATTTTGATCACATGATCATAGGGATGCTGCAAATATCGTAACTGTGGAAAACGGCCGTAAGTCACATTTTTCATTGTCGTTGTAACTAACACTAAATGAACTGTTGTAAGTCGAGGACTACCTGCACCACATGTGTCTCTTGCATTGCATCCAAATATTCCTCTCCTCCAACACCACACAGGTCTGGAGCATTGTTGGGTTATTTCTGTACATCTGAAATATAATATTATTGTCAACTCTGGAGCTGGCCTGACGGAGGCCATTTTGAGGCTCCAGGGTTGCCACAAGGGAGATGAGGGTTAGAGTGGAAGGAATTGCGATAGCTGGGGTTTGGTAGCCAAAACTAAAATAGTTTCCCTTGTGAACCAAGGACATTCCCACAGGTGGCTGAAGAAAGGACGAGGGATGTTGCCCAAGCAACCAGATTGCTCTTTGATTGGACCATGCGACTGATTATTGGGGAAAAGGGGGGAAAACTTTCAATTTTAATTAGGTGAAAACCACAGGAACCTTCAGAGTCGGTTTTCACCAGCCCGTGCCAATATGATATATCCAATAAAACTATTCTTTGAGGAACCTACCTGCCTCGGAGTTCTGTTTGCTATGGGTGTATTACTTTACAGTGGTGGGATTCAAATTTGTTTACTATCGGTTCTGTGGGCGTGGCTTGGTGGGCATGGCAGGGGAAGAATACTGCAAAATCTCCAGTCAGAGGTGGGATTTGCCTGTTCTTTGAACTACTCCAAATTTCCCTCCCTGTCCCACTAACCTGCTTTCCAGCTCCGTTCTCCTGTGCAGGGCAACCAAAGAAGACCCAACCGATCAGCTGGGACTCAGGAGGCAGAGAATAGATGGGGGCCAGAGCCAGTCAGAGGTGGAATTTACCGGTTCTCCAAACTACTCAAAATTTCCGCTACCGGTTCTCCAGAACCTGCTGAATACCACCTCTGCTTGGGAACCCTGAGATTAAACCGACTCTGGCAATTATGGTTTCAAAAGCCAAGGGAGAAGGTGGTCCAATCCAAAGTCCCTTCCAACTCTTCTGTTATTCTATTATTCCCCATCCTCTCCTTGGCCCCAGAATCATGTTCTACAGAAATTGATTTTGCAAGCCAATCTGATCAAAGAACTCATTTCGTCGGTGTCACAACCGACTGAAGTCAGTTTTGCAATGCCCATAGAAAATTCTCTGACTTAATGCATTCTTGCTTGCACAAGGAGCATCCCTCTTGCTCTGGAAGCACCACACCGCAGCTCTGGAAACGCCGTGCACCCAGCCCTGGCATGGAAATCCAGATTGCTCAAAGGACCTGGCATAACAGCAATGGGGGGGGGAGGGGGGGAATGGGAATATGTATGCAGGAAAACGAGTCGGAACCTGTGCTCCATAAAGGACGCTGTTGTGAAACTGTCAGGTAGCAATGCCCCAACATAAAGCTTTACATATCAGAACCATCTCGGTCTCTTGTTCCTCTTGTTCTCTTCGCCACAGAAAATTATTTTTTAAACATAAAGGGGAAAAAAGGAGGTGAGGATTGGACATGTTTACAGATACAGATTAACAGAGTTGGAAGGGACCTTGTCGGTCATCTAGTCCAGGGCTCTCCAACCTTGGCAACTTTAAGCCTGGTGGACTTCAACTCCCAGAATTCCCCAGCCAGCTTCGACTCCCTTCCAACTCGGTTAATCTGTATCTGTTGCCCAGGTTGGAGAGCCCTAAACTAGCTGTGCTGGCTGGGGAATTCTGGGAGTCGAAGTCCGCCAGGTTTAAAATTGCCAAAGTTGGAGACCCCTGATCTAGTCCAACCCACACCCCACCCCGCCCAAGATCTCACAATAATTGTAGTTCGAGGTGAGGGTTCAGCTCTCTACAATGGAATATTGCAGTGTTTTCATCTACACTTACTATTATCTCTGCTCCTGTCTGAAACGACCACTTTTCTATTCCTTTAATGAGCATCGCTGACTCTGTAGCCGTCCCATTTAAAGATCGTCAACAAGGAGCTTTGTCCAGGCAACAGCATTCAAGTGGCTTCTTATAAGCGCTGTGCAATGGAGTAAAGTGTTGGGTTTGGCCCTGTAACTATCCTTTTGAACTGTGCCACCAGTTCCGCAACTGGCTGAAGCCAGAGACGATAAACTCATTGGGGTGCAAAGGGGTACAATGTCCTTTTTCACACTGCAGACCTCAGGGAGAGTTCAAACAGCCGAGCTATTGAACATACAAAGTGGCAAGAAGAGATCCACAGGTAGTGGCATTTTGGACCACTGGTGTTATTTTTCCAAGGGATTTGGTGACATTATTTTGATTTTTCCTTCATATTAAGAACAAGTCTAGAAGTTTAGAACGCATTCTGAGCTAACCTGCTTTTTACTCTTGTTTTTTGAATAAAGGAGAAAGGGAGGGGGGAGGAATTTTCACATAGCTGCAAGCTTTTCTTATTGTAAAACTCTCAGACTTTCCATTCCCATCCTAAAGTCCTTCTGCGCAGAACCTAACACGAGATAACTGTGGAAAGTGTCCATCCTTGGGGTATCTTTGCTGTAGTTATTAAAGAACTCCTGGCAGCTTGTGAGCAATTTAGGTGTCATCTTGCTTGGGAATGTATGCTTTTTATCTTATGCTTTTAAATCTCTTTGCATGAGCTAACAATAAAGCTTTAAAAGAAAACCATTTTTATTTAGTGGTGTGCTTATAGTCCCTAGATCCAAAAGAACCTATCGCCTGGGCATCTGATCGCATGCACTGACCCTTAGCAAAACACAATATTACAGTTGTCATCGGCAAAGACCAAACAGAATAGTCTCATTTTAGGTTTCCTTAACCCAGGGCTCTCCAGATGCCCTAGACTTCAACTCCCATAATCCCCAAAGTACACAGGATAATAATGCAAGTGAAAGCCCAAGACATCGTGCAGGCACAAGCTTGAGAACAGTTACATTTAAAGTCAACTTGATATGGATTTCAGCAACAATTCACTCACCTGTATTTCTGATTGTGTCAAGGTTTCTGCTTCCTTGGACAGAAGAATAATCTGCTTGGAGCCACCATCTGTGTCCAGTGCTCGGAAGTGATGCCTAGCATGGAGGGTAGTTAGCGGTGACCCCTTATGACCTGCATCTTGCTGGTGTGCATTTGGAGCCGCCTGGCTCCTGTTTTTCTGGATAACCGGGCTCATTTCTTTCCTTTTGGTTAGGCCCTTGGCTTCAGCCCTTTCTGGAGAAATGAACTTGCTATAAAGGAAGCTGTTGTCCAAACGAGAATACGGCTTGTCTTCCACAACCTTTCTGTCTACAAAGTTGGACAAAAGAGACATCCCTGCAAGAACATTGGTTTTCTTCAAGTTGGGCTGGCGATTCACTACAGCCCTGGGGTCACTAACGCTGGCCTTGATATCTTCCCGGCTTTGCTGAAATTTCCCAAGGAAAGGCCCCAAGTCTTCCTCGGTCTTGTACTGCTGGCTTTCCCAAGAGGAAGATCTCCTGGCTACGCTGCTATCCCGTGCTTTCTCTTCATTAGTGAGATAAGAATTCTCGATCTCCTCCGTGTCTTCTTCTGCCAGCCCTGGCTCCTCCCCCTTGGATCCTGTTCCTTCCTCCGGGTTTTCCTGGGTGAGAGAAAACAGCTGGCTTAATGGTGTTGGGAAAGAAGCCTTTGACTTGGGAGCAACGTGGTTCTCGTCGATAGGTGGAAGGATGGTGTGCTTGGTCAGAGTAGAAGGGCGCGAACTCCTGGAGAGGCTTTTGGGAGGCTTCCGGAGTTCAGCCGGGTCCATGTTGCGGAGGGTGTCTACGAAATGCTCCATTTCTCCTGCTTCCTCGGGTTCTGTTTCTCCTATCTGGCTGAAGCTTCTTATTAAGTCACTTGGGGGTTCGGGCCATGAGAAAGAAGAGAGGCTCCCATCAGGGGAACTCTCTTCTTCCAGTGCAAATATCAGGGGGCTCTTGCCCGACACCTGCTTTTCTTTCTTCAGTTCATCATCCTGCGTTCTGGCTTTAGGATCCCCCGGAGAAGTTGGCTGAGATGCAGCAGAGATTCCAATTTCCTCCGCGGTGTCCGAGGAGCACTTATTTCTCCTCTTGGCAGATAGGCTGGCTTTTCCCACGCCTAGCCAGCTGCTGTCTTGATTTGACCTGTTTGTTATTAGGCCTCCTGCAGTGGGCATGCCTGGCTCCTGTTCAGACCTGCTTCCAGCGAACAGGTTGCTGCTGTGCTTCTGGGAGGCAGAATTGCGGGGCAGGCTGCCGTCTCTCTGGGCTGCGCTGAGTGGAACTACTGCTCCCTCCCTGGCTAGATCAGCCTCTCCGTTTGATGTGCGATCAGGGCTCGGTGTAGGCACACACCTTGGCCTCTGGGCATCCCCCACATTGGCATTTTGAGAGTGAGTCATGCCATTCTCAGGCTGTGACTCTGGTGTGGAGAAGATGCGAGATGCGGGGAAGTAGGAGTGGACTCTCTGTGGGGACTTGGGGAGATCGGCCCGGGTTGACCAGGTTTCTTCCAACGCCGTGCTGGTGTTGGAGCCAGGAGCAAAGGGTTCATCTCGCTGGCTCTGGCTGTTGTTTCCTGATTCAGGGGCAGACATAACAACCTCTCGCCCGACTTGGTAGACGGTGGAGCACCCGGGCTGAGGCACAACGACTTGCTGTTGGGCTCTAAAAACAACTGTGTTGTTGCCCTTGGGGCTGTACCACTGGGCATGGGATTTGGCTACAGTGGTGGAACACAGTACCTGAGGGACTGGCTTGAACACACAAGGCTCCTCAGAAAACGCAGGGCCCGAGGCAGAGGATGTGTAGTTTCTCCCTGAGGATCTAGAGAGTGAAATAGAACTGCTGTTGTTGGGAGAACTTTCCCTTAAGGATTGAAGTGCAAAAGCCCCAGGGAAGTTGGTTTCCTTCAGGGATCCAGTGTCCAGCTTGAAACCGTCCCCTTTTAGCGTATGGCCTTCCTTCCGGGAGACAGTTCCGTTCAAGCCGTCATGAGGAAGGTCCAGATTCTGCTCCTGAGGACCGTTAGTGTTGGTGGCCTGGCTCTCTTTCTGGAATCCGGCATCGTCAGGATTGTGGAGAGCAGCAGGAGAGTGTGTGTCTCCAGGTGATTCAGCAACTCTGGTGCTGACGCCATCTTGCGTTTCTTTCTCCACCAGACACTTCGGCTTGGGAAGTCGGGAATAAACTTGAGCAAAGACAGGCCCATGAGCAGTAAAATTTCTCTGTGGGCCGGGAGAGCAGGGACGCCCCTCCACTGCTATGGGAGAGAAGCTTCTGGAGTCCACTGGGGAAGGGGAGACCTCAGCCTCTGCTGCGGATGAGGAGGGACCGTTGTCTCCTGAGGGGGCCAAGAGTAGGGCATCCGGTGGAAGAGGCAAGGAGTTGATCTGTGCTGGGGAAAGACACCTGGCATCTGCGGAGGAGGAAAACCATCCATTGTCCGGAGGAAGGGGTGGAGACCTGAGGTCCGAGGAGGGGGAGGAACACTTGGGAACTGCTGGGGAAGGTGAGCTCCTGGCATTTGATGAGGGAGACTTACTCCTCCTCACTGCTATGGCCAATGGCCGCCTGGTGTCCACGGTGGTGCTTCCTCTGGAGTACAAACGCCGCATCTCTGCCACAGAATAGGAGGACCTGTTTCCTGCCATGGAGGACGAGTGCTGGGTACCATCCAGGGATGAGAAGGAGGGATTCTCTGTTCCGGAAGGGGTGTCTTTCCTCCTTAATGGAGAATGTGAGCGGGGCACCTGTGTTGGCTTGGCCTTGAGTGGGGGAGGGAGCTGCGGTTTTGCTGCTGGGGGCAGAGGCTTCCTCTTCTCTGCCGGAGACCGGGATCTCCGGTTTTCTGCTGTTGGCCCGGAAGGAAGCCGAGGGTCAGGAGAACAGGAGCGCTTGGCGTCCCCCGAGAAAGTGGACTTCTTTTTCCCCGTTGGAGAAAAAGACTGCTTGGCATTTTCTGGAGAAAGGCATCGCTTGGCATTCATCGAGGACACGTTGGATGGTAAAGAATTCCTGAAATTGGTGGGGTGAAAAACATGGGCACCCTCCGGGGGTGAAGGTAAGCGCCTGGCAGGTACAGGAGAACGGGAGGGCCTGGTTTCAGTGGCAGTGGTTTCCATCCCCACAAGTCCTTTCTCCCAGGCCTCAAGCAGCTTGGACACTTTAGAGGGGCTGCTGGCTCTGGCACCTTCTCCCTCGACACTTTGGGAGGCTGCCGACACTTTGCCAAAGGGTGTCTTCTTGACAGAGTCAGGAGGGTTTTTCTTCCATCGTGGCGAAGGGCTTGAGGCAGGATCTCCCGGCTTGCTTTGATGGGAACGTGCATTGCTGGCAACTTTCTCCATGCTGGAATTAGGACAAGGCAGGTCTCTTTCAGGGGCAGCCTCACTTTGAGGCTGAAGTTGGTTACCGTTGCCTTCCCGAGAAGCTTCTTCGGTTTCGCTGGAGTGGGGAGGGAATGGGATAGGATGGGAGACAAGAAAGCAAAAGCTTAGGTCAGGCAAGAGCAACCAGGATGATTAGGGGACTGTAGACTAAAACATATGAGGAACAATTACTGGAACTGGGCCTGGCTAGTCTACTGAAGAGAAGGACCAGGGGAGACAGGATAGCAGCCTTCCAATATTTGAGGGGCTGCCACAGAGAAGAGAAGGGGGTCATGCTATTTTCCAAAGCACCCTAAGGCCAGACAAGGAATAATGGATGGAGACTGAACAAGGAGAGATTCGACCAAGAAATAAGGAGAAATTTTCTGACAGTGAGAACAATCAACCCATGGAACAGAAGTTGCCCTCAGAAGTTGTGGGAGCGCCATCACTTACACAGACTTTCAAGAAGAGATTGGACTGCCATTTGTCAGAAATGGTGTAGGGTCTCCCGCTTGGGCGGGGGGGTTGGACTAGATGACCTACAAGGACCCCTCCAACTCTGATTGTCTGTTATTTAACTGTCATTTTCCTTGGAGCCTGGCACTTTCCTCCCTCCCTCTGATTTCCTGGAACTTTTACTTAAACACAACAGCAGCAGCAATACCAAAGCAGGCACACTGCAAAATAAGGGGGCAGCTTTAAAAGTTATCTTTACCAAAGATGCTTCTGGGTCTCTCCTAAAAAAACCAAATCTAACGCCTTGTGTGGAAGGGTCAGGAAAAAAAAAAAAATAGGCTGAATTAACAAGAGAGGAGAAGCCACAGACAGGAAGGGGTCAAGCACCCAAAGGCCAGACAAGGAATAATGGATGGAAACTGAAACAAGGAGAGAGATTCAACCTGGAAATAAGGAGAAATTTTCTGATGGTGAGAACAATCAACCAATGGAACAGAAGTTGCTTTCGGAAGTGGTGGGAGCTTCACACACAAAAGGAGATTGAGTGACCCTGGGACACTGCAACCGTCATAAATGTGAATCAATTGTCAAGTAACTGAATGTAAATCACTCTGAGAGTGCTGCAATGGTCATAAGTGTGAAAAACGGTCATAAGTCACTTTTTTCAGTGCCATTGAGGATTACCTGTAGTCAGGGTGTCTTCCTGTTCTCTGTGATTTTGAAGTGACTGGATCACAACTGGTCCAGAAGCCCAGAGATGCACCTGAAAAGCCATTTTCTGCTTTAATGTGGATTTGCTCACTTTTGTTCCAGGTTCTTAAAAGAACAGATAATCCTTGACTTATAATAGCTTGTTTAGTGACCGTTCAAAGTTACAACGGTACTGAAAAAAATGACTTATGACCATTTTTCACACTTATGACTGTTGCAAGCATCCCCGTGGTCACGTGATCAAAATTCGCCCGCTTGGCAAGCAGCGTGTAATTTATGATGATTGCGGTGATTCCGGGGTCATTTGTGATCCCCTTTTGTGACCTTGTGACAAGCAAACTTAATAGGGGAAAGCCAGATTCACTTAACAACCATGTTAGTAACTTGACCCCTGCAGTGATTCACTTAGCAATTGTGCCAAGAACGGTTGCAAAACAGGGCAAAACTCACTTGAGTTTTGCAAATAATTTTTTTTATTTATTTACAAATATATAAATAATATTAATTTTGTAAATAATTTTTATTTATTTATTTACAAATATATAAATAATCCAGAGGATGAACATCATTGCCCAGAGGATCCTGGGTTGCCCTCTCCCCTCTTTGGAAGAGCTTTAGAGCTCCTGCTGCCTTAAGAAAGTTCAAAATATTTTCAAAGATCCATCTCATCCTGGGAACCCTTTTTTTTTTTAACTATTACCATCTGGCAGATGGTACCGGATAATAAAAACAAGGACAAATAGGCTGAAAAACAGCTTCTACCCCAGGGCAGCAATTCTATTGAATTCTACTGTATAGTGCAATATTAATGCAATATCAGGGGTTTTCAATTCAATGTGTGGAGTGTGAAGGATGTGTGTTTGTGTTTATTTTCATGCTCATGATGCGCACTGAAGATGGTGTTTGATTTCGTTGTACGAGGTACAATGACAATAAACTAAACTAAACTAAATTAAGAACTGTCTTGCTTAGCCATGGAAATTTTGGGCTCAATTGTGGTTGTAAGTCAAGGACTACCTGTACAGCAGCTAAATAAAAGAAGGTGGACAGTCTGAAAGAGAGAAAAAGAAGTACAGGCAGTCCTTGACTTATGACAGTTCTTTTAGTGACCATTCAAAGTTACAACGGCAGAAAAAAAAGGGACTTGTGGCTGTTTTTCACACTTACGACCGTTGTAGCATCCCCCTGGTCAGGTGCATAAAAGTAGGATGCCTGGCAACTGATTCATGTTTATGACAGTTGTGGTGTCCCAGGGGGGTCATGGGATCCCTTTTTGCCACCTTCTGACAAGCAAAGTCAATGGGGAAGGCAGATTCACTTAACGACCATGTTTCTAACTCAACAATTGCAGTGATTCACTTAATAAACATGGCCAAAAAATTTGTAAAATGTATCAAAACTCACTTAGCAAATTTCTCACTTAACAACATACATTTTGGGTTCAAATGTGGCTGTAAGTTGAGGACTCCCCAGGAAGACAAAGCCCAGTGTAAAAATGAAAAGGTGCAAGAGATTTACATGCTGGTCAGAAGAAAAGGAGAAGAAATTTCAGCAAGAGGGCACTTAAGATAGACCGGGCTTAAGAAAGAAACTATGATGCATATAAGTAATAATATAGAGCATAGTATGTATTATAGCCAATTGTAGTAGAGTGATATAATTATTGAATATTAATAACATATAGTACAGTATAAACATTGTTATATTAATAGTGTAATTGTAAGCCATCCGAAACCATTTGGTTGAGATGGATAGCCATAGAAATTAAGTAAATAAATAAAATAAATAGTAATTGCATAATGATAGCATAGTAATTGTAATAGTATTTATTTATTTAAGAAAACGTATACGGCTGTCCAGCCACTTTCAGTGACTCCGGGTGGCTTACAATAATAAAGTTATCATATTATATCATATTAATAATCATAGTGATAGTACAGAGATAGCAATTGAAGAGTAATTAGACAGAGAATAGCGTAAAAATAGAACAGAATTAGAATAAAAATTATAGAATAAAGAATAGAATAAAAATAGAGTTAGAACAGAGAATAGAACAGAGCAGGGATCTTCAACCTTGGCAACTTTAAGACTTATGGACTTCAGCTCCCAGAATTCCTCAGCCAGCATACTGTAGGTTGGATACCATGATGACTGGCTGAGGAATTCTGGGAGTTGAAGTCTATAAGTCTTTAACATTGTGAAAGTTGCAATTTCTGGAACAGAGGGTCAGTTTGGACTAGCGGTTAAGGCATCAGGTTAGAAACCAGGAGACAGAGAGTTCTAATCCCAGCTTGGTGACTTTAAGTCAATCGCTAGGAGACCCTAAGTTCAAGTTCTGCCTTAACCATGGAAGCCAGTTGAATGCCTTTGGGCCAGTCACTCTCTCTCTCAGCCCAACCCACCTCACAAGGTTGTTGTTGTGGGGAAAATAAGTGGAGGAAGGTGTTTTGGATATGTTCCCCGCCTTGAGTTATTTGTAAAAATAATAAAGGTGGGAAACAAATGAAGTAAATAGATAGAATATAGAAAGCACTTTCTTATCATGTTTATATGTAAATAAAACATCTCCCCACATTTATATTTAGCTGATAGGGAAATATAAAGAAAAAAACCTGGGCAGGGCTCAAAGCTTTTGTGTCGCTCTTGAGTCAGGGTCAATCCAATTGGATATAGTTTTTTTTAAAAGAAGAATCAACGACAGTTAGGACCAACTTCTGGGATAAAATAATTCAGCTTTTATATCGTTTTGTTTTACCTGTATGCCCCATAAATCACTCTGTGGGCAAAATGGGCATCTTCTAAATCTGATAGATAGCTAGATAGCTAGTTAGCTAGTTAGCTAGATGATAGATAGATAGATAGATAGATAGATAGATAGATAGATAGATAGAT